CTCGCCCTGCTTTGGCTCTCACTTGGTGGGCTGCACCCTCTGTCCTGCACCCACTGTCTGACACGCCCCAGTGAGATGAACTCGGTACCTCAGTTGGAAATGCAGAAATCACCTGTCTTCTGTGTCGCTCATGCTGGGAGCTATAGCCTGGAGCTGTTCCTATTCGGCCATCGTCTATTTCTTTCACTTTCTAGAGAGTACCCTTCACTTCTAGTGTGGACATGTTTAAAAAAAATTTTTTTTCAAATGACATAACTGCAAGGTTTTTAAGAATATAGAGAAGAGGCAGATTGGTCAGGATAAGAAACACTTAGCTTTAGTTTTTCCTCTTTTTCCCCTTGATCTTAAAGAGTAGTAGTGCTTGGCCAACTAAAAAACAGCTATGGCTTTTCAGTTCAGTTCTGACTTCAATTCCCTCTTTTTTCCTACCCCCCCCTCTTTTCTCTTCTCTTCCCTCCATGAGCTAGGAAAGATTTATGACTCTCTTGGGGCCAGCTGTGTCACTCTTGTCTCCCCCTGAAGATCTGTCACTGGTTTTGGGCTTCCGTGGCAGCAGCCATCTCACCATTCCATAGACTGCCCACCCTTTGGACCCTTGCATGTACTTCATGTGGATACTAAAGTCATTCTGACCTAATATCACCAGAAATAGTTTGCTGTGACAACAGTGCATCTGATTGCTGAAACCAGTTCAGCAGGTTAAGGGTCTGGCCCAGTAGAGCAATGCTTGAGACAGGGTAAATCTGTCCAATTCTAGAGTTCAGTGATAGGAAGCTTACTGGCCTTAAGATAAAACCCATATTCTCTTGCTGAGCACAGTGGCACATATCTGTAGTCCTAGCTACTTTGGAGGCTGAGGCAGCAGGATTGCTTGAGCCAAGGAGTTCATCAAGGCTAAAGATGATCATGCCTATAGTCACTGCACTCCAGCCTGGCAACACATGAGACCCTGTCTCTGCAGAGGCAGAGCCTGATCCCACAGAAGCAGAATAGAATGAATGTCTCTTCAGATAGGCTGGTCCCAAATAGGAGTGGGGAGGAAGTAGGCTAATTGCGCCTTGTTTCTTCTACTAGATTTACAATTGGGCAAGTCACTTTACCCAGGGCAGACTGGATAAGGGGATGAAGAATGACGATAGTTATGCTACTGGAGCTTCCTTCACATGGAGGAGAGACACATTCCCTCTTAATATTTTAGAGTATTTTAAATCTTAACAGACTACTAATTTATTTACTTGCTTAATGTCTCTCTTCTTCACTAAGATTATCAATTCAATAAGAATAGAACCATGTTTATCTCTGTGCACAAAGGGACTAGCATGCTGTTTGGCATATAGCAGGCAGTCATGCTGGTTAATTGAACAAATGCAGTGTACTTTGTTACAGTGGACTTTAATATATATGGTCACTTATTAATTGACCCAGTAGAAATTCATGTACAATGTGCTAAGAACTCTCTTAGGCAATAGGATTGTGAGATAAAAATGAATCAGAATGCAACAGGATAATGTCAAGAGTTTTTCTTTTGAAAACAAAGCAGCAGTTAGATTTTTGAGGAAAATATAGTTGGAAAGCCTCTGACTCGCTAACTCACTGGACCATATGGACCAATCTCTTGACTACTCTATGCTGCAGATTCCCTGTTTGTTTATAGCTAAACAAATGACAAGGTTATTTTGAATAACTGATTTTGTCCAACTTTTATAGCTATTACCAAGGCATTATGAAATCAAAATGTTTACTTTTTGGTCTTGTCTTCTTGATCTGGATAAAACTGAAGAACTAAGATGAAAAGGACATTTTAAAATTTCTTTGAAATTACTTATGATTTACTAATAGATATTACTTTGTAAGAAAGAAAAAATATACATCTAATAACAAAACTAGAATTTAAATTTTCCTATGAGTTTCTTAAGAGTAGGTACTAGAGGCCGGGCACGGTGGCTCAAGCCTGTAATCCCAGCACTTTGGGAGGCCGAGACGGGCGATCACAAGGTCAGGAGATCGAGACCATCCTGGCTAACATGGTGAAACCCCGTCTCTACTAAAAAAATACAAAAAAATAGCCGGGCGAGGTGGCGGGCGCCTGTAGTCCCAGCTACTCGGGAGGCTGAGGCAGGAGAATGGCGTAAACCCGGGAGGCAGAGCTTGCAGTGAGCTGAGATCCGGCCACTGCACCCCAGCCTGGGGGACAGAGCGAGACTCCGTCTCAAAAAAAAAAAAAAAAAAAAAAGAGTAGGTACTAGATATCAATAAATGTTTGCTGAATTTAAGTCATTAAGGAAAGTTTTGTTTTATGTAATAAATTTAAGATGGGTTAACTTAAACTAGATTAAGAAGCAGGGATAAACTGGTTTTTGAGTATCAGATATTTTAAAAATACATGTAATAATCAGAGCTCAATATTTAGCAACTCTACAGATTTCATATTAAGTGGTGTACATTTGCACTAAAGCACACATTTATTTATGAAATGGAGTCTTGCTCTGTCACCCAGGCTGGAGTGCAGTGGCGCTATCTCAGCTCACTGCAACCTCTTCCTCCCAGGTTCAAGCAATTCTCCTGCCTCAGCCTCCCAAGTAGCTGGGATTACAGGCATGCACCACCACATCTGGCCAATTTTTGTATTTTCAGTAGAGACAGGGTTTCACCATGTTGGCCAGGCTGGTCTAGAACACCTGACCTCAAGTGATCTGCCTGCCTTAGCCTCCCAAAGTGCTGAGATTACCGGTGTGAGCCACCGCACCTGGCCTATCAATCATTTTAAAATTTATTGTTTTAGTTCATTACCAAAAAGAAATCAATCTCCAGCTATATGGTAAGTCACTTTTAAAACCCACACAACTTTGTTGTAATAGTCTTTTATTTTATAAAAAAAAATGTAATTATGCAATGGTTATCAGGAAAGTTAATTCAGTAATAAATATGTAGGCTAGGGAATAGTTTTCAAATATTCAACCAATACCAACAAAATCCTGTATGATTTACACAATTGTTCAAGCAAACACAAGAAAACTCTGGTTCGATTTTCTATGAACTATCAAAAAGGGCGAAATGCTCTTCCATCTCAAACCAGGTCTGAATGACAGCTTTTCAATACACTAAAGACACACACAATAAAGACAAAATACCTCTTTCTAAAATAGTCCTCTTTTAGTCCATATATACTTTGAATAATCTTGTGTAGTAAATTTTTGCTGCAACTGACAATGTTCAAAGTAAATCTCTCCTGGTTTGGTGTTCTAAGAAGCCAACAGCCATGGCAGTATGAGCATTACTACTACTTCCAGAATCTATAAAATCCCAATGCTATTGCCAGGCAAGTAAACACCGAAGCTGTGAAAAGAAGAAACTGTGTTATAGGTCTTGTATTTGTATTATTTTGCAGAGCTAATGAGAATAATGTTATCTTTAAGTGAAGAGCAAAAACCAGGAAATCCGAGCAATTTTCTATCCTGTTTTTTATTCCCTAGAAAATTAAGGATGAAAGACATTCTTAAGGACAGCATTAATGCCCAATTCTTAAAAGCACCTGTATATTCAAATGTAAATTATATGTCATTTAGAACATATAAACTGTATTTAAAATCATTAACATTAGCATTATTTACTATAAATAATTATAAGCTCTAACTTCAGATCTCATGATAAATGAAATCTTTCTTGTATTAAAAATTATGTAGTTAGGCTAGTAAAATATACATATATCTATGAGAAGAGAATTTTAATTGCCTTTTCAGTGCATTTTAAAATAATTTCTCATAATTGTTAAAAATATCTTAATAAAAACTCTTTAAACTCAATGAGGTAGAAGAAAAGGCAGAAGCAGCATCAGGTTTTTAAAATAGTTAATATACTACCTGTACTTTATGTTACATAATTTTGGATTAAAAAAAAATTCAGTTTTCCCAGCTTTTAGAAGGTAAGTCTGTGTGTGGCCTTTAGGGACTCCCTAGTTTCCAGTTTGTTTAAAATACCAATGAATGAATTTTAAAAACAAGTTAGAGATGAAGAGAAAACTTTTGTGAATAAAGACACAAGAAATTAGTCTTTCAAAGTAAAGTTATTCATAATGTATAAACCCATTTGTACACCATCCCATTTGATCCTACTACTTACTGAAACTTGGTTAATGATAAGATCATTGTCTCAGTTTTAATAAATGGGATTAGGTATCTCTAAGAAATACAGAGAAGGACATTTGAGAAGTAATAACACAAAGTTTCTAGTCTTACTGCCACTGGGCAATTATATATTCTCCCATTTGATCCTGCTACTATTTGCCACGTGTCGGGTAGTATGCTAGTATGCTGAGCAATTACACAGTAACCAGGAGATTGGTGGCATTATCCCTGTTGTACAGACGAGGTAACATACCCAGTTACATCGCTAGCAAATAGTGGAGGCAGGATTTAAGACTAAGTGTACTTGGGCTGGGCACAGTGGCTCACGCCTGTAATCCCAGCACTTTGGGAGGCCGAGGCAGGCAGATCACGAGGTCAGGAGATCGAGACCATCCTGGCTAAAAAAAAAATTAGCTGGGCATGGTGGCGGGCGCATGTAGTCCCAGCTACTTGGGAGGCTGAGGCAGGAGAATGGCATGAACCTGGGAGGTGGAGGTTGCAGTGAGCTGAGATTGCACCACTGCATTCCAGCCTGGGCAACAGAGTGAGACGCCATCTCAAAAAAAAAAAAAAAAAAAAAGACTAAGTGTACTTGACTCCAACGCGGTTTTTTTTTTCTTTTAATAAAAAAACACACAAAAAATTTGTTATCCTTATTACATACTGTGACACTTGAAAAACTCAATCTGTCATTTATTTGAGTCACATAGTGCTATCTAAGTGGTTACATCCTTGCTGATTCAACAGCTGATAAATTAAGTTTTAGATAACCAAATGAACACTTACTTATTGTGAGGTGGGAGGTATTTTGTTCCTTCAGTAGAGTATACAATCATTACTGCATTTAAGTTTCTCTCTCATGTCTTGCTGCTGTTATTTCAGCTTTTATTTCTCATGGCTGTTGTTGTAGTAACTACGGAGCCATCTCCAAATTATTTAAGTTTGCTGTTTATCCTCTATACCCTGTCTAGGGAGACATTCTACATATATGTAAAATGCTTAGGTGAGCATGTGCCTGGTACATTTTAAGCACTCTGTAAACATTAGCTTTCATTATTTATCTGCCAAGAGCAAAATCTGCCACATTATCTACATAGATTAAATGGAAATTGCTATTATTCCTTGGTGGCAGTGTTCTGGATCAAAAGGTGGTGTCTGACCCAGGATGAACCATTCAGACTTCTTTCTGAGGATTTCACAAATTGGAACTAAGCAAAGAGGGCAATCTCTCCTGATTAGTTAAAGTGGAATGATAAAAGAGTCTAGGTGCTAATGTTTCCAACTTATGGAGAAAGCTGGTATGAGAAATTGAGGCACACATTCACAGATGTAAACAGTAAGTTCTGATTCCAATTATGCTTGTAGGTAGGCTATTTTACTTGTGCCCCTTCCATGGTTCAGCTGATGGCTGGGGGCTCCATCTTCAACCCTGCTGGCACCTCAACATCAGTGGTGACTGCCCAGAAAATGACTAAGAGTATAAACCAGCAGTTTTCTTTTAGACAGCAATTTGTTAATATCAAACATTTTAAATTTGCATATCTTTTTGACCCCAAAATTTAAATGTACATAGCAAGTTGTTATATAGAAATACTAGCATGGGGGTACAAAGATATGTGTGTGTGTATGTATATTTACTCAAACGTAACACATATATATGGCTGTTCAATACAGTATTGTCCTTAATAATGAAAAACTGGAGGGAGAATGCCTGTTAATAGAGGACTGGATATATAAATTGTGGCATTTTCATATAGGGAATACTGTGCTTTCTAATAAAAAGATGTCTGTGTGTATTGATGTGGAAAGAAATAGGACATTTGGTCAAATTTTTAAAAGTTGTAGACTATAAAAAATACGTGATCTAATTATTTTTATAAAGTATATAAGATGTTTATATATAGAAGAAAAAGACTAGAAAATGTTTACTACTAATAGTAAATATACATAGGGAGGTGCTTTCACTTTTACTGCTTTTGAATTCTGTGAATAGTTTATAATGAAAATACATTACTTTTTATAAAAGGAAAGAAAAAAGACAAGTAATAGTTGACTAGGGCATTCTTTCTAAATCACTGGGCTGGGCCCTGTAATTGGGTCAGGTCAAATGGTACTTGAGGAGCTCAGTATGTGACAAATAATCTAATTTTGGGGTAGTATCTGTGCTGAATCAGTTGATTTAAGGTAAGGTCATCTCCCCCTCCTCCAGGTTTTTAATGGGCTTATATCTACTTTTTTGATCTTTTTTCTCTAACCTCATTCAAATCTTTATGGAAGAACATAAGCAATACAAAGAAAATTTTCATTTTGTTTTTTCACTGTAGAATACAGAGTTTATCCTTCTATGATTTTTGTGCTTGTGTTTATATATTTCTTTTATATCCACATGCTTTTTCTATTAGTAAGCTGCAGAATTGCCTGCTAAACTTATATTCTGAAGGGTAACACATCTATCTGTGAGGACGAAAGCAGCTTAACATTTAGAACTGTCCCATACTACATCCTATATGTTCCTTCCTTTGGCTGTGTCTAATTTGGAATCTGCTATAATAAAAATTAGAAGTATTAAAAAAAAAAAAAAACCCAATAATCCAAAAAATATCCTGAGACTAGAACCTTCTTTAAGCACTACAGGGGACCAAGCAATAAAGGAGCCGTGTTTTATAGCTCCTCCTTTTTCTCCTGTGCCAGCTCAGTTACCTTGGTAGGTAGGAACTAACAGGAAAATGAGATGGCGGCAATTTTTTTCTCTGACAGTCTTACCTGCAAGATAACGAATTGTCTCAAGTTTGTTAGACTCCATCAGTGTTTTCAAGGAAGCAATTTCAGCGTCAATTTTATTACTGGTCTCTGAAATAATACTTTTGGTTTGAGTATCCTGTAGTAAACCAGAATAAATAAGAGAACTTAATTTTGTTCCTTTGTATTAAATGGACAAAAGCATTTACATTAGAAACCCTCACTTATGGGCTAATTGTGATACAAAAGTCTTAATTGGGGAAACAGTAAAAGCATAGTGGTATAAAAAAATTTTAAGCATTCCAAGATGGCCAAAAAGGAACAGCTCCGGTCTGCAGTTCTCAGTGTGACTGATGCAGATGATGATGGGTGATTTCTGCATTTCCAACTGAGGTACCTGGTTCATCTCATTGGGACTGGTTGGACAGTGGGTACAGCCCACAGAGGGTGAACTGAAGGAGGGCAGGGTGTTGCCTTACCCAGGAAGCGCAAAGGGTCAGGGGATTTCCCTTTCCTAGCCAAGGGAAGCCATGACAGACTACCTGGAAAAACGGGACACTCCCGCCCAAATACTGTGCTTTTCCCAAGGTCTTAGCAACCAGCAGACAAGGAGATTCTCTCCTGCGCCTTGCTCAGCAGGTCCCACTCCCACGGAGCCTTGCTCACTGCTAGCGCAACAGTCTGACATGGAACTTGTGAGGCGGCAGCCTGGCTGGAGGAGGGGTGTCCGCCATTGCTGAGGCTTGAGTAGGTAAAGCGGCTGGGGAGCTTGAACTGGGCGGGGCCCACCACAGCTCAACAAGGCCTACTGTCTCTAGATTCCACCTCTGTGGGCAGGGCATAGCTGAACAAAAGGCAGCAGACAACTTCTGCAGACTTAAATGTCTCTGACAGCTCTGAAGAGAGCAGTTGCTCTCCCAGCACTGCGTTTGAGCTCTGAGAACACACAGACTGCCTCTTCAAGTGGGTCCCTGACCCCCGTGTAGCCTAACTGGGAGACATCTTCCAGTAGGGGTTGAAAGACACCTCATATAGGTGGCTGCCCCTCTGGGACGAAGCTTCCAGAGGAAGGATCAGGCAGCAATATTTGCTGTTCTGCAGCCGCTGCTGGTGATGATACCCAGGTAAACAGGGTCTGGAGTGGACCTCCAGCAAACTCCAACAGACCTGCAGCTGAGGGACCTGACTGTTAGAAGGAAAACACACAGAAAGGAATAGCATCAGCATCAACAAAAAGGTCATCCACACCAAAACCCTATCTATAGGTCACCAACATCAAAGACCAAAGGTAGATAAAACAACAAAGATGGGGAGAAACCAGAGCAGAAAAGCTGAAAATTGTAAAAATCAGAGCGCCTCTTCTCCTCCAAAGGATTGCAGTTCCTTGCCAACAATGGAACAGAGCTGGATGGAGAATGACTTTGACGAGTTGACAGAAGCAGGCTTCAGAAGGTTGGTAATAACAAACTTCTCCAAGCTAAAGGAAGATGTTCGAACCCATCGCAAGGAAGCTAAAAACCTTGAAAAAAGATTATGAATGGCTAATTAAAATAAACAGCATAGAGAAGACCTTAAATGACCTGATGGAGCTGAAAACCATGGCACCAGAACTTTGTGATGCATGCCCAAGCTTCAATAGCCAATTTGATCAAGTGGAAGAAAGGGTATCAGTGATTGAAGATCAAATGAATGAAATAAAGTGAGAATACAAGGTGAGAGAAAAAAGAGTAAAAAGAAATGAACAAAGCCTCCAAGAAATATGTGAGTCTGTGAAAAGACCAAATATACGTTTGATTGGTGTACCTGAAAGTGATGGGAAGAATGGAACCAAGTTGGAAAACACTCTTCAGGATATTATCCAGGAGAACTTCCCCAACCTAGCAAGGGAGGCCAACATTCAAATTCAGGAAATACAGAGAACATCACAAAGATACTCCTCGAGAAGAGCAACCCCAAGACACATAATTGTCAGATTCACAAAGGTTGAAATGAAGGAAAAAGTGCGTTAAGGGCAACCAGAAAGGAAGGTCGAGTTACCCACAAAGGGAAGCCCATCAGACTAACAGGGGATCTCTTGGCAGAAACTCTACAAGCCAGAAGAGAGTGGGGGCCAATATTCAACATTCTTAAAGAAAAGAATTTTCAACCCAGAATTTCATATCCAGCCAAAC